TTATTATTATTATTTTTTTTAGAATTCAATACTTTCAATGAAAATTTTCATTAGTTTTAATAGAAAATAACAACTAAAATTATTTATCTAAATTTAATGAATATGGACGATAAAAATAAATCATCAAAAAAAAAAAAATTTAAACGAGGAAAGGACCCGCTCCTCTCCACCCCACCCCGTTGCTATCCCTACTAAATTATTATTATTATTATTATTATTATTATTATTGTTGTTATAAAAGTTACGATAAAATTTTAAACAGCCTAAATCTGTCTTCGACTCTTAAAGCGGGTCGAATAATATATATTTAGCCCAACCCAATTTACTTCGAAATTGGGTGGAGATGATAAAATTAATAATTAATAAACTAATTTACAACATCCATATAAAATAACAATTTTTTTCTGGATAAAAAATACGTAGTTAGAGTTTATTATAATTTCTGTCAAGCTCCGGCCCGCGAACGCAAGGGCGTAGTGCTACCGGGGAATCCTACAGCGATCTTTTCATCACCGATCATCGAAAATTTACATTTTATTTCAGGCAATTATCCTTTTGGTGGTCTGAATTTTCCAGTTTCGAGTAGAATTCAGGTTTAGTCTCCTTTTTCTTGTTCCGATTCATTTGTTGTTCAGTATTAATTCCCTAAATTAATCAGCATCTTTTCTCAAATTATTGCCAAGTTTAAAAACTGGTAGCTTATGTACTGATTTTCACTTACTGTTTCAATATGTGGCTTATTACAAATGTTGAATGTTCGTTGATATTATATTTTGGCGTTTCCCCGATGTTTGGAAGTGAGGAAATTACCCATTTTTGGGTCTGTGTAAGATTACACGGTATGCTTGAGATTTATTCTTGTTCAAGAATGATACGGAAGCAATTGTTCGTATTGGAAAAGAGAAGGAAATTGAAAAGAGATAAAAAGAGGGTTAATCTGAGGAAACCCGGCCTCCCAATTATTAGTTTTCGAGGAACTAAACCTCCAAGTTATAATCAGGAGTTGCAACTGATTTCCATACCTCCATATTCCCTCATTGCTTACACTTCAAATACAAAATTAAATAAAACATCACTCCTAAAACTAGGTGAGCTGCAAATAGTTTCCATTCATCCGTGTCCCTTGCTTTCTTACACTTTTAAATAAAAAGAAATTTGACTTCTAAAACTAGCTTAGACGAATTCATAAAAAATAAAACATAAAATTACAAATTACAATTTCGTAACATTCCAGCCCCCTTAGAATCACCCTTGTCCTCAAGGAGGGTGGGCTTTCTCAAAATAATTCGTCTCTTTTTCCTTTTTTGTTTCCATTTATTGTTAGATATGATGGTGTATTGATAATTTCTTTGTCAAGAAGAATGAGAGGATCATCAAACTTCGACAACATGCGCATTAGACCAAAGCTATACTTTTGAACCATAACAGGAATGAAGGATTCCATTGCAGAAACCGGATACTTAAGATCTGATGGACCACATACATTCACCTTAAAAGTTGGAGTATGCCAAAAGAAATTTGGCTTCGTACCCTGCAAGTTCCACTTTAATGTTTGGTTTGATAATTCATCTTTTCTCGCCTGATATTCTTGGCATCTTGTCTGCACAGTGGTAGGAATGGTTGGAGAAGTTTCTAGCATTACAATTGGCATCACTTTTTGAGTTTGCTGCTTACTGAATCTGGAAACATTCTTCATAGGATTTGTTAGTGGGGATATGCAAACGGTTTGCATGCGATAGCATTCTCCACTTAACGCATTTTGATCTTGAATATTACTAGACTCTACATTTTGCAAATATGAATTTGATGTGCCGATATCTGCTAGGCTCTGCTGTGTCTCCACCATTTGTTATGAACTCATTCTGTATTGTTTATCAGCTTTCCACAATCTTGATATTTCGTCCATTTTGCACAAGAATTTCTTTGTAAATTCCTTTTTGTTCAAGAATCGTAAATTCTACCATTTTTTGTGTTCTCTCTAGTTGCTAAACCTATGCTGGGATTTTCTCCTTTTGTTGCATGCGCTCTGATACGAATGCGAATTTGTTCCTATTGGGGAATGGAAAAGTAAATTGAGAAGAGATGAAAAGAGTTAAAGAGGTTAATTCAAGGAAATCGGCCTCCTAAGTATTGTTTTTCGAGGACCATTAACCTCCAAATTACGTAGCATTCCTTGCTTACACTTTAATTACAAAATGAAGCATAACTCCTAAATCTAGGTAGCATTACTTGCTCCTCAACTAACTTAGACTAATTCATAAAATAAATCAGACATAAAAATTACAATAAAATAAATTATAAATTCATAACAAAAACGAATACTTGGGAGGTCGGGTTTCCTTGACTTAACCCTCTTTTTATCTCCTCAATATACCAATATACTTCTCTATTTTCCAATATTAACAATTCATGTTCGTATCAAAGAATTTCTTTCTTATAAAGTTGTTTTTCAATGCTCCAAATTCTGCATTTTGTTGTACTCCTGTCGCCCAGATCTCTGGTACAAATGTAAGAATGCTTAGCAATTCTCCCTAGAAAGCTAAAAGTGTGCTTAATTCTTATCACATTAAATTGTGTATAGCTCTAAAACAATTATGATTCTATTCTCGAAATTCTTCTAATTTTAGATTCTAATGTTATGCATTGGTAGAAGGTATGGGTCCTAAAATTAGCCATGTGATTCATTATAATTTGTTCCTATTTTCGTGCTTATTCAAATGATTAAGAATTAAGCACACTTTTGGCTTTCTAGGTAGAATATTATTCTTGAAGTGATGTTATTGAAAAGTTTGTTTTGTTACCTTTAGTTTGTATTTTTTGGTGATATTTTTCTTTCTTTCATTTCGTTTCTGGATTGGTTTTCATGGTAATATCCTTTGGGATAATCAAATACCCCTTTTGGTAAAAATGAAAGGCAGCAAAAAACAATTGAGGAAAGGGGGATAATAAGATTGGTCTCAAATTAGAAGTCAGACTATAACATTTCCCATTCCTGAGATATAGAAGTTAATTACGACTTATAGAATTGGCTGATTTCATTCAAAGCCATGAGTACGCCTGTATATGCAGATATGATAATGATGAGGATGAGATTAGCTAAACCTGTTGATATGCTTGGGAGATAATTACAAGTGAATTACAACAAATCACCTTAAAGCAATAATGTCTTGAATCTTGAGTTAAGACTTCCACTGAAGCACTGTTAGATGAGTACTTGAAATGATACTCAATCTCAGACTCCTATTGAATTAGTTCTTCTTAACATGGTATTGGTAATGAAGGTGGCAGTGATTCAAATCTAATTCACTGTGGTTCAGCCTTTACAGTTTGGAAATCAGTGAGGAGAAGGAAGGAAAAATGAAACTGGCGCTTTTTTATTTTTTGAGCTTTTCACTATTAGGATTATACCTACTATTGGCATATGTAGCATATAGGGCACCAGAGCATACAATCTGTAAAAAGTCATTCATGCTTGGGCTGAACCCTGAATGTATCTTATTCACCTAGAGTTGTTAAATATTTGGCAACTCATATTTTTATGTCTTTTGCAGGCAGGAGCAGATGGTCGTTGAGTGATGTAAAGGAGTATTGTACAATATTGAGAGCAGGAAACATCTACTGTTGGATATTGAGGTTATCATTAGAAAATTTGAGTTGGAGGAAACATATTTGTAGGATTTCTGTTCATTTCATTTATAGCTGCAAGTGTGATGTCTGAAGTGGTGTAGAATTCCTTTCCAGTGAGTGTTTAGTTTCTTGGCGACCTGCTTTATTCGCTGGTTGTTTTTGCCCTGAATAGTGAATAGGCTGATTATAGGCCTAGCCGCCCAGCAGCTAATCACCTGTCTAGTGGTGTCCAGAAGTGATTTGGGTATTAATACTGTGAAAGAGTGACATCCAAGCTTTTCCTTCATAACTAGCTTATGTGATCCGTAGTTTCATTATCACTTACTAGAACAAAGTAGTTTAAATAAAGCCGAGTCTTAGCATGCGTTACTTTATACTTTTGCCATTTTGGGACCTCCTGACTGTCATCTTGGAATATACAGTTCTTAGTTATCGTGTTGTGTTGACATTTGCATCTTAAGTTCATAAATTTGCGCCTTAACAATATGTGAAATTTGATTTTGTCATTATTCTCTTCTTAGATAATTACGAGGTCGATTCCAACATTTAGCCATAGAGCTTTGATTCATCATGAACCTGGGGATGGCATCTCTAACCAAGCCTCTATCTAGTATTTCTGCAAGTACTGTTGGTCGTGTGCATCATAAGCGCTTGAAGTTATGGAAATCTCAGAATCTGCTTAATGCAAGCACTTTACTGCATACAAGTCGTAAGCACTTAACTATTTGCTGCACAAATATGTCTCCTTGGGAATCTGCTTCGGTAACATATTCTCCTCATAGTGAAGGAAAACTACTGAAAGAGACGACCAATATCTTTGATACTTTGAGTTCTGGTGAGACAGCTGAAGCTTCGGTAGTCAATGCTGAAGAGATAACAGTTCCAAGCAACCAGTCACCTTTGCAGCTCCAGTACTTTAAATGGCCTATATGGGTTCTTGGCCCTACCCTTCTCTTAGCCACGGGCATAGCGCCCACCTTGTGGTTGCCACTTTCATCAATTTTCCTCGGTCCGAATATAGCCAGCCTTCTTTCTTTGGTTGGACTTGACTGCATTTTTAATCTCGGCGCATCTCTCTTTCTTCTCATGGCCGATTCTTGTGCAAGTCCAAAAAACAGTACTCAAGGGTGCAGCAGCAAGCCTCCTTCCAGTTATCAGTTTTGGAACATGGTTGCGAACATAATTGGATACATTATTCCTTTGACAATGCTTTTGGGTTCTCAAAAGGGTCTTCTTCAGCCTCAGTTACCTTTTATTTCATTTGCAGTTATATTAGGTCCTTATCTTCTGCTTCTGACAATACAGATACTCACCGAGATGCTAACCTGGCACTGGCAGTCACCAGTATGGTTAGTGACTCCGGTTGTCTATGAAGCATATCGTTTGTTGCAACTGATGAGGGGGCTGAAGCTTGGCGTTGAGCTCGGTGCACCATCATGGATGGTGCATACTATTAGGGGCTTGGTGTGCGGTTGGGTGCTTGTTCTTGGAATGCAGCTCATGAGGGTCGTTTGGTACACAGGTTTTACTGCTCGTACTTATAATCAAGAGTCGACTGCTTCTGTTGATGGTAATTGATTCTTGCTGATGAAGCTGTTACTGACCTCATGTACAAAATCTGTTAGTACACTTTTGAAATTTGAAAGGGTTTAATTTGATAAAAATTGTAATAGTATTTGTCGAAGAGAAATCGATGAGACAAGCAAATGCTTGGTGGATACTATCATAATTGTCTTATATTGCATGCTTATGACTAGGATATATTTGTAGAAATGATAGAATGAGAAGTTGCAATTTTCGTTAGTCTCTTTCTTCCTACCCTTCCTCCGAGCATGCTGAGTAGTCAGTGGACCTTGTGGCTAGTATTGATCGTCGGCTCAGCAAACTCCCTGGTGGTTGAGTGGTCGGCCGCTGTGGAGTTAAATGTTTTGTTAATGCTTTAATTATCTCACGCGGCCTTCCAATTAAGCCACGTATCTTTTGAAGTTGGCTATGGTATAGAGTATGTGCTTATAAGCTGTAGATTTTACAGAATGTTCTTTTTGGCTGAATCATTTTCTCATTGGGATACTTTGCATTATATATAAAGAGGCTTACATAGCTAGGGTTAATCTATGGTAATTGTAAACATGGTAAAAATACAATTATATACATAAGTATGGTAATATAAGTTGTCTGTAATCTTTGTCGATCTTATTGATATCCCACCTCAAATTAATGTTGGATGATCTAGAAGCAACAATTTGCTGATGAGAAATTGATGTCGTTGTTGAGTCATTACTTTTGTAAACACATTAGCGATCTGAACTTCTGTTGTGATATGTGGAAGAGTAACAATTCGAGCATCATAAGCCTCATGTACAAAGTGACAATCCACTTCAATATGTTTAATGCGCTCATAGAAAACAGGATTAGCAGTAATTTGAATGGCGCCAATATTGTCAGCGTGAAGTGGAGTAGGCTCAAGCTTAGGGCAATCAAGCTTTGCTAGAAAACTTCGAAGCCAAAGAATCTCAAAGACACGATTTTGCTTCTTACTTCGTCATGAAATGAGTGCACTCCCAAGGACCATACACTAACCTTTAATCGAGTGACGAATATCACACATCCAACCCAATCAACATCACTATAGCCCACTAATTCAATAAGAGAATTGATTGGGAAGAAAAGGGCCCTTCCTGGTGTACCTAGCAAGTATCTAATAATTTGACGAGCCATGGCTAAGTAGCGGTGTCCTGGAGCGTGCATAAACTGACAAGCTTGTTGGATAGAAGAAGAGATATCGGGTCGTAAAATAGTGAGGTAACTCAAACTACCCACTAGCTGACGATACAATGAAGGATCAGAAAGAAGATTACCATCTACCTTGCAATACTTCACATTCACCTTAAGAGGAGTCTCAATAGATCGACCATCCAAAAGACTAGCCAAAGTAGTCAACTTGTCTGTATATTTATGCTGGTGCGTAAGTCCCAGCTGAGTTGGTAGTACCTCAAAACACAAGAAATACTACAAAGGACTCAAATCCTTCATATGAAAAGACTCATAAAGTCGGTCTTGAAGGTGAGATATCATTCCGAGTCGATCCCGATAATAATTTATTATCCACATATATCATAAGAAGCACTATACTAGCCTTGGTATCATAGATGAAAAGTGAAGAATTATATTGGCTCTAGGTAAACTAGAAATCCAGAAAAGTGGAACGAAACTTGTTAAAGCGTGAGGAGCCTGTTTCAATTCATAAAGCAAGCGATTTAGCTTACAAATTGGAAGAGGGAAAAGAAATGAGACCCGTAGAGAGTGTAATGTAAATATATTCCTTGATGTCTCCATGCAAGAAGGCATTCTTAACTTCTATCTATCACAAAGACCATCCCTAGAGGCAGCTATAGCAAGAACGGTGCAAATTGTTGTCATTTTGGCAATAGGGGCAAATGTTTCCTCATAATCCACGCCATATTCTTGATGATTACCAAGATCCACCATCAGGCTTTATAGCGATCTAGTAAACCATCAGAGCCAAACTTAACATAATAGACTCGTTTGCATCCAATATGTTTGATCCTAGGAGGACAAGTAACAATATCCCACGTGCGATTCTTTTGAAGAGCTTAAAGTTCCTCCTGCATAGCTTTCTCCCAATAGTGTTGGGTAACTGCCTGAGACTAAGAAGTAGAAATTGAGATATGAGATAAGGTTATAGAGTAACCATACCAATCAAGAGGGCCAGTAATATAAATGGATCGCCTAAGAACAATAGAGTCTGGAATGGGATTAGGGTTGGGAATGGAAGGGAATGTAGTGCTGCAATAGACTCCCTTGAAAGAGATGGAGCCCGCAAAAATTCAAGGAGTATCTCAAGTTGGTGGCCTACCAAATTATCAACATTGGGAATCTGCAGATCTGCGCACCTATCTTGCAACCTCGAGAAGCTAGCCATAGTAGTAATTGGAATGGCAAGGGGGGCACCGATGGAAACCCTTGATGAGGTAAGGGAGATGTAGACTTTTTGGGGAGAAGAGCTAGTGGAGTAGAATGTTGAGATAGAACTTTAGATCGGTGCCATTTCAGAAGCTGTTCAGGCTTGACCTCAGGCTCCTCAGGTTGGACCACAACCTCGGCAGGGATATCCTTATTTTTTCCCTTAGCAGCTGCTGCCGCTACTTTTGCTGCCTTATATCCCAACATATTTGGATCTTGGCCTGAAACAAAAAATTTGATATACATCAATACCACGTCAAACGTAAACGTTAATAAGAGTACATGGAGTATACTTATGAGAAGAGGTTGGGGCCGAAGTAGTATGTTGGATTGATGCTGAGGTCGGTGGCAAAGACTGGAATAACTCTGCCTGAAATAAGCTTGTGTCTGAATTCACAAACTTGCAGGACCTTTGCTTCTTGGGGAGATTTCTAATGGCATCAGCTTGTCTCTGTGTGGCCGAGCTCAGGGTAGATTTCTTGTAATCTGCAAAGGAAAAATGAATTAGTTAGAAGGATGATCTTAACATAAAAATAGAAATAGAAATCAAAGGTGATGTTCACTTACATAACAGTGATAGAGAGTACGGACTATATCCTCTTTATTCAGTTCGGCAGGATGGAACGCCATTCTCCCAGTACAAAGAAAAACTCATCTTTCCACTTTTTTATTGAGGAGGGAGTATCTAACACTAAAGGACCTCCCGTCCTAGGTCTAATGCTTGCGTGCCACCAGCCCGTATTTTTTCCATCTTCCTTAAATGTAAAAAGAGAATTGAACTGAGCTACACTTAGTTCAGGATGACTTAATTGATTCCACAAAATTAAGGTCACCATTAAAGTCCTCCACCCGTTAGGGCAAAGTTGTGTAGGGGCTATTCCTGACGAAGAAAGAAATTTAAGTATGATCCTAGGGAATGGAAGTCTTAAACCAGAATGGAGAATAACAGAATTCAAAGCTACACATCCAGTGGGTGGAGTGTTGGCTCGGTCGGATGAGGTTGGTATTTCTAATTCTACCGAACTAGGGATACTATACTTAGCCCTCAAATTGGCGAGCATGTCCCATGTAACCACTAACCTAAAAGAATCCGATCCCCATTCCTGAGTGTTTCCCTCATTACCCCCCTGAGATCCCACATCTTTCCTTTCACGGTTTTGGTCCATATTCCTAAAAGTATTTAATTATTTTGGGTAAACTGAGGTGATAGGAATTGGTGTTAATACCTCGTGACAATTTGAGCTAGTGGAAGAAGAACTAGCAGAAGGAGAAGACGGAAAGGTATTGTTTCCTCTTGTTGGTTACCTCATAAATGTACCATCGATTCATTTGAACGCATATAAACTACCGGGGCAAAAATTAATGAAAAGGGAAAAAGACAAAAAGGTATTTTTTGTTAAAACGAATACCTGAATATTGACGACCTCACTCAGAAAATAGATAAGAATGCAAAGAAATTTTTTTAGAGAGCAAAAGTCTAAAAAGATGAAAGTGAAAGTGAGAAAATGAGGGTGGTAAAAGTCATTTAAAGGGAATGAATATTAACAGGTGTGATCTGGGGCCGTTGAATGAGGAAATGGAGGAAAAATAAATGTTTGGATTTAATTACCTCATAACGATGTCGTTTCGTTGAAGCTTCTAGAAGAAGAAACTAAGTATGCATGATAGCTCATTTGCGAGTTATGGCGCGACACATGTTCATGTCATTTATTGCTGTAATGATTATGGAAATGAAAAAATGTGCCGAGTACGCTCAAGGTCAGTCTGTTGCCAAGACAAGCATTGACCCAGGGGTAACTATTGGCATCTGACCTCCGAGGTCGTTGAGAATAGTTTATTACACGCGTTAAGCTCATGCTATTGCGAGATCAGATTCGTGAGATCAGTTCGGATTATGCTATTTACTAAGGTTTGAGGGGACATAATGATTAAAGATTCCTTACACATTGTACAAAATGTCAATCGATAAGTGATATATGGAAGGTTTTACATCAGTACCCAACAATTCAACCAATTATATGTCTTAGCTTCATTCCCTAAGTAATTCATTAATTGTTGGGGACCACATGTAAGGTGAGCTCATGATGACCGACAAGCTGAGCTCATTAAACCAATCCAAACATGCCAATGATGTACTTTCTCAGCTTGATACTATAGTTGATAAGACATGGAGACAAAGCATGCATGCAAATCTTTCCCTATAAAAGGGCAAGAGAAAGAAAGGAAAGATATACTTGATATTTTCAAATATCTCCTTATAAAAAGAAAGCAAACACTTGTAGTTACAATGGTAACATGCAAATCACTCTCAAGAAAATTCTTATGTACATTTTAAGTTGGCTTGAATCTTATTTTTACAACTTTTAACATCAACAAGTGGTACCGACACCACTTTTAGAACGAAGAGAATTTATCCAAGTGTTACAACTGCAATTATCAATAAAGGTCACAAAATATTTTTAAAGAGCATGTGAAGTGGTGGGTACTACTCCCCAAACGTTACTATGAATAATTTTAAAACATTTATTAGTACGACTGCAATGAGCGGAAAACAGAAGTCTTACTTTTCCCAAATTTACAAGTATCGCAATCAA